TCTATAAGGCATCCTCTAAATTACAAAGAAAGGGAGCAGCCAACATCCTGACCTTTGTCAGGCAGAGACAGGCTGTCTGCAGGGCTACATGATCACTTAGGATCAGCCCAATGGCTTCAGAGCCTGGCTGCTACACCATAAAAAAAATGTGCCTGCAAGGATAATAACATAATTGTTATCCATGTAAATATGAATTAACAAGGAAAATAATAAGCTAAAGGAGGGTTCACTGATTACAGCAAATATATCCCTCCTAGTTTGCTAAGTTATTTTACTAAATTCTAAATTCTCCAAGTAATTTTAGGAATTAAAAAAAAAAAAAATCCAGGGGCTGAAGAGATGGTTCAAATGGTTAAGAGCACTACCTGCTCTTCCAGAGGACACGGGTTAAATTCCCAGCACTCACATGGCAGCTCACACCTACCTGTAATTCCAGTTCCAAGGGATCTGACATCCTCATGCTAATGCACATGAAATAAAAAAGTTAAATAAAAAACAAACTCCTAGAGTGTGAACTGTTTCCTTAAGTTTTATTATTTAAATGATTCCTTACTTCATTATATTCATATAAGAAGTGAACAAGAGAATATTTTAAATATTAATAAACATGTCTGTCTGTAAGAATAAAGAGAAATAGTTCACTTCAGGCTCTTTACCATTTATCCTGGAATCTGTAAGTAGAACACACATGATCAGAAGACTTATATTTGAGATGACTTTGTGCCCACTTTTTGTGTATAATCTGATGGCATATCAACCAGTTTTGGAGGGCAGACCTTCTTTGGAAAGAAGCCAAAACAATTTAATCCCAATGACAGAGGTTAGAGACTGAGGGGATTGGCTCTGTTCATACAGAATGCTTAACCAACTCTTGTGGGTTGGAGGCTACAAACTGCAGTTACAGCTATATAATAGGATAGTAGATTCACCTGAGCAAATGTCTTAGTGGAGTAAGCCTACCTTTTCTTGTTCAACGTCTTATTTAGTTCTGAACATATCTTGGGGATTGAAAAAAAGTAGAAAATATGAATTCAAAAGAAATCCTAAAATGTGAACTCCAGACTAAAAGTCTTCTGTTGGTTTCAGCATTTGTCATATCTTTTAAGCCTTAAAAAAAAAAATGGCCAAAATAATTACAAAGCACAACATATTATGGTGTTTATCTTATGCAAATAAGTACAGTGCTTCTAAACTTTTGTGTGATAAATACAGCATTCTAGGCTTTATCACCAATAGCCGAGTCTATAAACCTAAACAAGGTTTTGGAATCTATAATTAGGAGATGATATAGGCAACTCTAATGTGGGTAATGGGCCCTGGCATCCATAAGTTCAACACCATAGCTTTGAGCGATCAAAAGGAGTAGGTAGCTGCTGTCTGTTTTAGGCACTGGAAAGGAGGTGAGTAGTCTCTGCTGTTAAATTATTCATGATCAGTTCAGTGGGTCAGGTGACAACATAACTAGCCACATGAAATAGCATTGCGAGTACAATATAGAGTATTTTAAAAATCCAAAGAACCAAGGCATACACCTTTAATCTCAGCACTAAAGGAGGTTGAGAAAGGCAAATCTCTATGACTTAGACTCTAACTTGCTGTACATAGTAAGGTCCTTTCTCAAAAAGAATAACATAAATAGCACAAATAAAAGTCCAATGGAATCATTTCTGACAAGGATTAGGAAGAAAACTTGAGTGTTTTGTTGTTGTTGTTTAATGGGAAAAAAATCAGTTCTCAAAAGGTGCATGCATATCTTAATTCAATTGCTAATACCTAAGTCTTGTTTTTCTTTTTAAAGGGAACTTGTCTATGTTACATTTTTACATGCTTATGGATTCACTGATGCTTTTGAGCTTTTAACTGTGTTTAACTGGTTATTATATTGTTAGTGTCTGCATGTGTATTTCAAATGATGTTCAAAGTGCTAAAAATGACCCTTGCACTCAGGTTTCTTAGAACTTCCCTATTTTACAGCCAGCCTTTACTGTGGGTTTTCTTCTAAGATAACATTTTATTCTGTGTTTCTAAAACCCAAGAACCAAGCTTTTTTTCTCCCCATCTTTAGCTTAAAACAGCCCATTTCCTAATGTAGGTCTGAAGGAGATATATCAATCCATGATGGATATTCTCATTATGAAGAATGTCATTGTCATATTTCCACTACATGTCATAGCTCAGAGTTGTCACATATGATAAAACGAATCACCTTATCTATATCTGCTTCAAGAGTCTGATATAAATGTCAGATTCATTAGATATGGTTTACACCCCCAGCTCAGCAACTTTAGATGCTTGAAAGAAAATTTAGACTTACAGAGACTAATTAAATTTCTAAGTGTTTAGCAATTTTCTTGTTTGTTTGTTTGTTTGAGACTGCATCTCTCTATGTAATCCAGGCTATCTTGGAACTCACTATATAGACCAATCTGGCCTTAAACTCACAGAGATTCACCTGTCTCTGCCTCTTGAGAGCTGGGATTCAAGTTATGTGTTACCTAGCCCAGCTAGCTAGTCTATTTTTATCTACATGTATACATTCTATTAAACTAATATTTTCCTCCAAAATATAAATATTACCTCTTCTTAATTTTTATATTTTCATTTTAATTTCTTTAAAATTTTTATTACAATGTATGTGTGTGTGTGTGTGTGTGTGTGTGTGTGTGTGTGTAGGTAAGTATATCAAAGAATGCTTGTAAGGTAACTTCTCTCCTACCAGATAGGTTGCAAAGATCAAACTGGGGGTTATCAGCTTGGAAGCAAATGCCTGTTCACAGCTGAGCAATCTCACTGGTGCCAAGATATGGCCTTGACACATATGTAAGGATATAAAAGTTCCAGCCTCTTCCCAGACAGTGGGCACGTGTCATTAATCTCAGCACCCAGGAGGCAGACGCAGGTGGATCTCTGAGTTGGAGGCCCGACTGATGTACAGAGTGAGTTCTAGGACAACCAGAGCTACACAGAGAAACCCTGTCTCAAAATGAACAAACAAAAAACTTTTAGCCCTAAATAAGACTTACGTTATCAAATGCACAATAACTTCTGATCGAATGAATTTAGTGTTACATCTAAGGCACAACTATGGAAAATTTCTATGGCTGGCCCTTCAACCCATGCACATATAGACGCAGTGTTTCAACACTCTATTTTAAACAACTGGTCTTTTCCATGTAAATATTGTCCTACTTAAAACTATTTGAAAAAAATGAATTATTCTCTTAAAGAATTAAAGTTTACCCAGTGGGAAGGATTGCTGTCCCAGAAATGTCAAACTGTTAATTATTTTCTCTGAACTACAGTCTATATTTAGCGAAGAATATACCCCCCATGACGTGAATGAACAGCACAGAACAGTCAGGACAAAGGAGATTACAAGCAACCCCATAGATCAACTCCTTAGTGACTTGCTCTGCAGGAGAAGAATCTTCAGTTTTCCATAATCTTACTTCTCTTGCCTGATACAGAGGTCAAAGGTGACCTAAGACCACAAGGAGGGAGAGTCAGCTGCTCTTTTCAGCAACCAGCTACTGAAAAAAAATGGCGCTTCTGTCGAAAGGACTTTAACTATATAGCGGTGATATTTTTGTCTGCAGGCATCCCTTCTTCTGCACAACAGTGACTGCTGTAATCCTGAAACTTTGAGCATTAACTGCGATGGATGGAAGGAGGAGAGGAGGTGAGTGCACAGACCCGACACATGTCAGACAGTGAAGAGGTGAAGTCAATGGAGTCAACATCAAAAGCTGTTATATTTTACTATGGCCCCTACATATGGGAAAAAGAAATACACATGAAAATGTGCGGTGAAATGCCTTCTGTTTTTGTTTGTTTCTCAAATACTGAGAAAATTCTACTAAAATTTTGAAGTGTGAAGCTCTCCTGTAAAGGCACTTTGTACAGTATTTGCATTTGTTGCCAGTTCACTGATGTGTGGAGACATTTACTGAAAAGTGGTGGGTTGAAAGCTAAAAAAAACAAAAAACAAAAAACTCTTGCTGGGTGCAAAACACCTTTATTCCTGGTATTTGGAAAGATGAAGTAAAAATATCTTAAGTTCAAGGCCTTATGGGTCACTGCTACAAAGGTGTAGCACAATACAGAGAACAGGCAGAGATGAAGATAGCCATGGTTTGTAAAAGAAAAGTCCCTCATAATTGACGACGTAACCTAAAATAAAAGAGAACCTTGAGAATGAGTTATGATAGCAGGTAAGAGGTAAAAATTGCAGTTAGTGTTTTTAAAGCATGTTTGTAATCCCCATAAACCACAATGGTACCTATAGCTAGGCTTGCCATTGATCCCCAGAGAGAAGAAAAGAAAAGGAGGGGAGGGGGAAAGGAAGGGAAAGGAAGAGAGGGAGAAAAAAGAAAAGAAAGGGAGCAAGAGAAGGAAGAAGGAACAAGAGGGGAAGGGAAAAGAGAAAGCAAGAAAAAAGGAAAAGGGGAGAGAGAAATGAATGGAATGGCAAAAATACTGAAGTCATGAAATAAAGTATAAACCATTTGAAAAATTAGTTTATAAAGATAGGACTGGTTATAAAATAAAAGAGCCAGATAAGTAGGAATAATCCCATGCCCTAGTTTCAATCACAGTGTTTGCTGTGTGTGCAAGTTTCATGGCTTGGGAAGACTCAATTCCCTCTATATGCAGTAAATACCTAATGACGTGTGTGTGTGTGTGTGTGTGTGTGTGTGTGTGTGTGTGTGTTTATCAATGCTGTACTATAGAGCATCTTCATCAGCATTTTACAATTCTATAATAACAATATTTTAAAGATGACATAGAAGGCTGCAATCACATAATTTGGTGGCAAAAAATACTACATTCTTTAAAAGAAGTGAAAATAAAAATGTTGATTCATTTCTTAATTTCTGGATTTAAGAAAACAAATCAAACATCTTAAATAAAGAAGTCCAAAAAAACACCTAAGTTTCACAGGCGAGTACAAATAAAGAAAACCACAACCACAGCCAGCACCAATCACAGGGGTGCTCCTTGTGGGCCTTCAGAAGACTGGCAGAAACTACATTCTTAACTGTTCTCATGTTCGTCCAAGATCTTGAAAGAGAGGGAGAGATAGAGACAGAGAGAGCAAAGAGAACGGAGAGAGGAGAGAGAGAGAGACTGCATCAAGAAGCTCTCTCGATTTCTCACGTTCATAAGACACATAGCAGGTGAGAAAACTTACCAGCTTCAGCATCTAACTTCAGTGATGGACCCCACGCCCACCCTTCTTTATTTGGATTACTATGAAGCTGCAAGCACCGATCATCCCATCATGGGGACGCTCTCCCACATTTCCTACACGTCTGTCTTTCTCCCTATCTTTTACACAGTCGTGTTCCTGACTGGAGTACTGGGGAATTTCATCCTCATGGTTGCTCTGCATTTCAAACACGGCAACCGAAGATTAATCGACATCTTCATCATCAACCTGGCTGCCTCTGACTTCATTTTCCTTGTCACACTGCCGCTTTGGGTGGATAAGGAAGCCTCTCTAGGGCTGTGGAGGACTGGCTCTTTCCTATGCAAAGGCAGCTCCTATGTGATCTCAGTGAACATGCACTGTAATGTCTTCTTGCTCACTTGCATGAGCATGGACCGCTACCTGGCCATCATGTGCCCAGCCTTAGCCAGAAGACTGAGGAGGAGAAACTGCGCATATGCAGTCTGCACCAGTGTCTGGATCATCTCATGCCTCCTGGGACTGCCCACGCTGCTGTCCAGGGAGCTCACTCACGTGGATGGCAAGCTGTACTGTGCAGAGAAGGAACCCACTCTGCTAAAACTGATGTGGGGTCTGGTGGCCTTAATTGTCACCTTTTTCGTCCCCCTGCTGAGCATTTTGACCTGCTACTGTTGCATCACAAGGAGGCTGTGCGCTCATTACCAGCAGTCAGGAAAACACAGCAAAAAACTGAGGAAGTCCATAAAGATCATCATTATTGTTGTGACCGCCTTCATCTTCTCCTGGTTGCCCTTCAATACTTTCAAGCTCTTGGCCATTGTCTCAAGGTTGCAGCCAGAACACCAGTTTTCCCCGGAGTCTTTTCAGATGGCTATGGAGGTGAGTGGGCCCTTGGCATTTGCCAACAGCTGTGTCAACCCTTTCATTTACTATGTCTTTGACAGCTATATCCGCCGGGCCATTGTACACCGCCTGTGCCCTTGTCTGAAGAACTATGACTTTGGGAGTAGCTCTGAGACATCAGACAGTCACCTCACCAAGGCTCTTTCCAACTTCATCCATGCTGAGGATTTTGTCAAGCGGAGGAAGAGGTCTGTGTCACTCTGAAGAAAGCTGTGACATTCCAAGCTCTATGGACACTCTTAGGAAGTTGGGTTTTGTCCGCAGTGGAGAAAGAGAAAAGCATTAAAGGTGAAATTCATATTGCTTCATAAATCCAAGAAAGTGTTGATTTTTTTAAAGGTGCCCCTGAAGAGCTCCTGTGTTGTGGATATAACTAGGTCATATGCTGCATTTTCAGCTAAATGCTCTGACTTGGTAATCAAGCCAGCCAGGCAAATTGCAAACTCCACTGTCCTTGAACTCTTCAGTTGATTTCTTCCTGTGTGTCAGTGCACCTTCAGGCCTTTCAAGACCATCCACCCCCACTGTTCATTCTGGGCTGTGTTTGGAAGAGACACTTTTGTCTGGTAAGAAATGTAGTAGGACGCATGATAACAAAAAAGTAGCGTGCACTCTGTGACTCACAGTCCCTGAGATGGAGTCTGGCCCCTTTTACTCGTCTGTCTGGTGAGTCTTCATCTCTTTCCAGCATTGGTTTTCATCCCAGGCCATTCTTGACAGCTTTGGTCTGGCAGGAAAAGTTCATGAAGATAAAGCCACGTTGCATTGTGCTAATGAACTGAGACTCACCTCATTACCTGATCTAAAAATCTGTTAACAAGGTAGCATGATGCAAGATTTGACCTTTGCCTTGTAAGAAACACTGTTAACAATCCAGCTTATTATAATGCTATGGTAACTGCTTTTTAAGGTTTTAATATGCTGTTTGTTTTCATTGCCCTAGAATTTGACTTTGTTGTAATTACATGTTTTTAATTACCTGTCATCTAGTTATCAAATGAAAACGTTACTACTAATGTAATTGGAGCTTAGAGGCTTGGGCCCACCCCCATGCAGATTATCACTTGGGGTTCTAATTAAAATGTTAGCGCTGCGCATTCCCTTAACAATTCTTTTGCTTGGTGTATATAATTTAAAGATGACGTGGGATGCTCTGTATCCAGCCAAAGAAAAAGAACTGTAGCAAAAGTGGTACTAGCATCTTATATACGCTTCCAATACCAAAGGCCTTGCTGAGTCTCCTCTCCTAATGCAGTACTTACTGAGTCTGCTTACATCTATATTTAAAACCAAAAAAAAAATGCAATTACTGACAACAACAAAAGGCCGCATCAGCAAGTAGGCTGTTGTAAGCTTAAGTCTGATTCCAGAAAAAGTGGGGTGTTAGTCCATTGTTGGCCTAGATGAATTGCCTTCTTATTCCTAAATGTTGAACTTAGAAATAAAAAAAAATGCAGATTGTTTTCAGAGACCATCTTATTTAATTTCCTCCCAAGCATCTTTCCCAGCAAGAGGAATCTCAAATATTGGACATGTTCTTATACTGAACCTATTCGAAGCTGAAAGTACAGGTTTAGGTTCAGTAAAGTATTCAGTTTGCTATTTCTATACACTGTCACCAAATAAAATATTATGTCCTTTTATAAGTATTTTTATATTAAAATATTAATTCTAATGGCATTAATTCCAGTACCAAATATACTAATGGCTATTTAATAGATTGTTGTGTTTATAGAAAAAAAGACTATGTAAACCATAGCAAATAAAGTTTTCAAAATTGAATTCAGAATAGTTGAACAGTTCTTCAAGGCTTAAGCATGAGCAGAACACAGAACAAGGGTACATTTTTATCATACAGAGCAATGAAACACCTTAATAATCATGGGAGTTACTGAAAAATATATCTAAAAAATGAACCTGCTGAGAAAGCCATTCGAAATGAGAAAGCCTGGGATATTGCTATAAGCTCTGTCATTAATGTCGGGTCTTAACTGTTATAACAACCAATACCAGAACTGAATAAAAACCACACACTGCCAGGAATTTTTGGAAGATAAATCTGCCATCCTAACACATTATATCATGCAGGTTACACCCAAGATTAGTAGAACAAAATAACAGTAACAATCTGAGGTAATAGAGTAAGGCTGCTTGTTTTCATTTACTTAAGCTCTTCTATGTCTTTAACAACAAAACTAAAAATATACCAATGTTCAAAGCATTTCTAAAGTAGTTCTCTTGAATTTATCCCAAAAGAAGCCCTCCATTAAGCCCTTGATAAAGTGTTGCTTGATCATCCGTGATTAGTTTTCAAATAACTGCAATGAAGACAGACACAGTCACAGGCACACATCAAACTAACCTGATACGTCTTGAGCTTCGTGTACTCTGTCCACTCTAACATGCCAAACTTCTTCTCTGCTGGTCATAATGTAATGCGGGGAAGCTATGCGCATGACTGAGAGAGTTCTATCACTGGGGTCACAAGCTATTTTTTTTAATGCAGAGAGCACAGTATGAGGTGGTGGGTGGAAGAAATCTTACCCTGTGATTCATCTCCATCCCTCAAATCACTCTCCTTTCTCACTGGCAATCTCAGAAGTGAGAAATGACTTGTCTGCTGTGTCTGGCCTCATAAAAGAGTAAACCTTGGTTTTTCTTCAGAGCTCATTCACAAAAGTCAAGCAATGCTAAAATAGCTGTAAATTTATTTTTAAAAGCAATGCCACCGGTGTGGCCTGCTAGCAGGACAATGGGCACAGCCTTGTCAAAGGGAAGAACCAGAGTCTCATTCAAACCGCTGCCCTGTTTAGATTCGCTAGCTCTTCCAAGTCCGTTTGTCGTCCATAAGTGTGGTTTGAGTTTCCTTCTGCAAATGCCTGTGATCATTTGCTTGCTTTAAGCCAACATTTTACATGATTTTTTTTATTATAGAGAGTAATTGTGACTAGAATTTAAACAGAGGGAAGAGCCTTCCAATATTCTGATTTTATTTTGCAGATGTAAAAAAAAATCTACCTGACAACCTTACAACAAGTTGCATTCGCTGTTTCTGATTATATTAGTCATTTCCATAATAGAACTGCACTTCACACTGAATTGTTAAATTAGAATTGTGTCATAAAATATGACTATAGAGCTCCACCCCCCCCCCAAACCCTATTTTAAATGTCTAGCAAACCAAACTATTAAAATAGTTCTTAGGACACAATGAATTATCAGTTCCAATAAAAAATCCACTTATTATATATATATACTTATATATATAATATTATTAATAAGTTTTCTGAAGCCAAAATGTACTTTAAATTTATCATGGGACTTCTTTACTTGGCTACAAGCGGTTAAGTTGGAAGGCAGTCCAGTTAGACAAGTGTCCATTCAGAAGACACGTGATACAGTGTTAACCTTACTTCTATAATTTGTTGCATGTCTTTAGCTGATGTTACCAGTCTAACATTTCTTGGCTATTCTTGTTTCTAATTAAGAAAATTTAATAATTAGCTAGTCTCCTCTCAGTGCCTTCTAAAAATTAGTCTTTATCAAAGTACTCCATGCTTATCAACAGTGATAAGAATTTAACACTTTATTAGTGCTTATCAATTCTTTTTGGAAAATAGTTTTATTTCATTGCTCATTCAAAGGAAAGTATAAAATGTTCTCCTTCCTATATATTTGTGATCTTTGTTCTATAAATGCATCCTTTCATTTGCTCTTGATTGTGTAAGGCACGAGCTGTAAGCTATTTGTACATCAAATAAAATTTTATGCATAAAAATAATACAGCACTAAAGACTACTTTTTAAAAACTTTTCTCTGTTAGTCCTCAGGAAACTCGGCTTTGTTCTGTCCCTTATAAAGTACAAGCCTATGCAATTCATGGCAATCGATTGTGAAATGTTCACATATCCTTGAGTTTGCCCATTCCGGAAGAATATAACTACATAGAAATTTAGAATAACTGCATGATTATAAAAAATGAGCCCAAATGGGGTAGCAATCTTAAGTGGATGGCCTCACTCTAGCTAAATGATTCATTTCTCTTCTCAATATGTTTGTGGTTTGGGATTCCTTACAATCATATCACACACTAAACTAAACACAGTGTTAATCACAAACAATATGTTGTGATAGTTGTTAAATCTTTTTAATATGTGTATGTTTATTAAAGCAGACACACTGCAATTGCTCTATTGACAAAAACACGTTCTCACATATACATACTTAAGTATATAAACCTACAGTACAATTACAGCTGGTAAGCATCCATTAAATTTTGTAACTACGATTATGTTATTGTGGCTTCTCAGAACACATAAATCTTTCACCTTTTACTAATATTGTAGATAAATTACTTGAGCTGAATGGAACTGTTCTCTATTTACTTGATTAAATATGGAATACAATGTGGATGTAAAACAAAGAAAAAACACGGAAAATGCAAAACAAAACAGCATGTGTACATATATCAACACTTGCATGAAATTGCAAATGGATTAAAATGCTTTGGTAACAGTTTAAACAAATAGCCTGTTCCTCGATCGATTTTATCATCTATATGTCTATTCTCTCCATAATCTATCTGGGATTTTATTAGACTATAGTATGTAAAAATGCCAAAGCACAACTTATTTATTCATGAAGTTTACCACATTGTTATATTTTGTAATCAAAGAAGTACTGATATTCAAGAAGAGCCTATTATATGTAAGAAGATTACAAGTCAAATTCATTTCTTTGGTCTTTTCTAATGCTGATGAAAAACACATGCTTACTTACTCTGTTCAGCATCCGTTGCTTATTGCTTCAGGTATTAGAGGGCTGACTGTAGTCACCTCCCGAGTTGTGCCCAATCCCTCAAGGAAGTGTTTACAGTGACATTCCCAAGTGAAAATGCTCTGTTCTTAAAAGTTGTTTTAAAACCTATATATTATTTTATGCACAAGAGGAATTCTAACCAGCTTTCCATTTATTTTCAAAAGACAAACTAAAGAGGTGTGCAGTCAGGTGTGCTAGGGCACTCCTTTAATCTCAGCACTCAGGAGACAGAGGCAGGTGGATCTCCTGAGGTCAAGACCAGTCTGTCTGGTCTACAGAGCAAGTTCAAGGACAGCCATGGCAGTTACACAGAGAAACCCTGTCTCAAAAGACAAAAGAAGAAAGGAGGAGGAGGAGGAGGAGGAGGAGGAGGAGGAAGAGGAGGAGGAGGAGGAAGGGAGGGAGGGAGGGAGAGAAGAGGTGTGCAAAGCAAAGCAGACATCTATGAAGAACTTTCCGGATTCCATGACTGGGTAAGATGCCCTCTCACTTGCCCTCAGCCTCCAGCAAAAGCAAAACTAACAGCTCAGGTAGAGAAGTGGTAAATGAGAAACGGAACTCTGCCTGCGGTTTCACTTTTGAAGTAAAAATACAAATTCGCAGGGCTTGAAGGCAGATGGAAAGGGCTACTCTGTTTGTAATGAAAAGGTTTATAAAATGCAGAGCTGACTCCTACATTAGCAAAATTAGTTTAAAATCAGGAAGATTCGTTGAGAATTGAAGGAGTCAGTGAGGAACTGCATGATGCACGAAGTTTGGAGGATTTAAAGTCAAAGCCATTTTGTCTCAATTAAAACAAAACATCCTGGCAATAGTCATGCAAATAATCAAACATGCCCATAGTTAAGTAACAAAAGAGTTTTACCTATAAAACTGGCAATCATTTATACATTAAACACTGTTTGACCAGGGTTAGAACTGTGCCTTGCAAGGGAGGACTTACTAAGTGTCATCTGATTAAGCTTTCTAAATGCAATTTAGGAATCTATATCAGGAGCAATTCCACTTGCAGGATTTGACCCTGGCAAACAAATACGGGCACGTCCATAGATAGACATGCCCAAGGAAGTTTTGCCATATATTCTTATTGCAGTATTGTTTGTAGAAGTAGAAAAATGAAAACTTACATGTCCAAAATTGACTAAATAACATTCACATACACCCTTACTACCACATACTATGCAGTCAAAAGAAAATATTCTGAGACCTTTGTCATGCATTTTTGTCCTGAATCATATCATGAAATACCTGACTCCTTAAAAGCAACCATCGAGAACTGCCACGGATTTAAAATTATTAAAGATGATGGTTAACCCACAATTCAGGCATGCCTTCATTTTACATTAGCGCACTTAGTATCAAATTTTTTTCAGCAATTTATGCTACATTTCATCATTATTTATTTTGATGTTCACTCTTATCTTCTTTATGTTTTTTATTGATCCTGTTATGCTTTTTTATTTCTTATTGATATTTATTGAGTTCTACATTTTTCTCTGCTCCCCTCCCTGCCTCTCTCCTCCCCCCCTTCAATATTCCTCCAAGGTCCCCATGTTCCCAATTTACTCAGGAGATCTTGTCTTTTTATACTTTCTACTTCCCATGTAGATTAGATCTATGTAAGTCTCTTAATGTCCACATTGTTGTCTAAGTTCTCTGGGATTGTGGTCTGTAGGCTGGCTTTCTTTGCTTTATGTTTAAAAACCACCTATGAGTGAGTACACGTCATAATTGTCTTTCTGTGTCTGGGTTACCTCACTCAAAATAATGTTTTCTAGCTCCATCCACGAGAGAATTTTTGATACTCAGTTACCATGTGATAGAGTAGTGTTTCCAGTTATGGCTGGGGTATTGTAAACCTTCCACAAGCTCCAGGTATAGATTCTATATTTGATGTTACCTAACTTA